ACTTTTACCATAAATGTGATATGGGAATCAATTATGGAGTTTGTTTGATTCTTTGAATCTTATTTAAATTCATTTTACCACTCAACTCTACATAGCGCTAAGTATCTGCTTTTCAGAGCTGCCTTCTAAAGTCGCGACTGTTCCTGAATGCCACCGAAGCGGTCAACACAGAAAATCCAGTGAATTTAACTACAATACGTGTAGAGTTTCTTCCAACTGGGAAAGATTGCATTCACTAAGACAGCAAATACATTCGCGTGCGATTTTTTTTTCGAAATATGTGCTTATCAGGAAGGATATTGTATAATTGCTAAATAAATCTCTTCACACATTCCACACAATTTTCAATTAAGTAATACTCATATGCCTTTCTAAAATTACATAATTAATGAATCGACCAAAGTAACACTCAAATTTCGGTAAAATCGGTCTTTACCAGCTTTATGGAAATCGTGACGTTGTAGTTCGCAACATTTTCGATACGTTCCCAAGGTCCCGTATGGTGTTCTTGGTAATTCAGGGCCATCACGGATACGAGTGCGTAGCCATAAGATTCTCTGTTTTCGTCGTAAATTTTCGTTCATGCCTACAGTCTATGTGCAGTGTACTTCTTACCAATAAGAAACGGTAAGAAAGATGCTACTGCAACTAGAAAAATGTAAGGATAGGCATGTCAGCCCTTGAGTTTATAGAAATCATTTTGAAAATCTGTAAGTCCATACTTCTTCCTTCTGCTGAAAATCAGACAAAATGTTAGTCGTTAGGAATTTCTCGTCCAGACATCAGGTTGGAGCGATTATTGGTTCTTTTTGAGTGACTCAATGTGAGCCAAGTGTCGCATTGACAGCATAAATAAAATAATTCAGTATAATTAGGATGGCTGCATTATTTACAATCACTCATCCTGTACATTCTTTCCCCAACTTTTTCCTTTTCCTTTAATAAATCTTAAGTTTTACTATCTTCTTGCAACAAGGTTTCAACTTCGGTTAACAAATATTCTTAA